GCAGCATGGTCACCTTACATACAGGATGACCCAAATGATAACGGGTCACGGTTGCTTCAACGATTTCTTACATAGAATCGGTAAAGTACGAAGCGAAGAGTGTTCGTTCTGCGAGGCCCCATGCGACAGCAACCTGCATACTTTGGGCGACTGTCGGGCTTGGGATGGCGATAGACAAGCGCTGGCGAGTGTCATTGGCGAAGACATGTCGCTAAGCGCTGTTGTGGCGGCTATCTTAAGAACGCGCGAAAACTGGCTAGCTTTCGGCAAGTTCTGCGAAAATGTTATGTTGCGCAAGGAAGAGGCGGGAAGAGCGAGGGAGGCGGAGGCACATGGGGCGGATGATCTGTGGAATATTCAGAGGAGGAGGAGGAACAATACATAGCCACCATAGGCTAATTACATCGGTTGCATCGGCAACTTGACTCTTTTTCATCCTGGCAGTACCTTCACTTCTTGGCGGAAGCCTGTATACTCATGGGACTTTGGTCCTGTGAGCCCGTGCGGTGGGTTCTGTCCCACGTTCGCGAGAGGGGCCCTGATGCAATACTCTCCGGTAGTCCCGGGGCCCCTCTCTTAGATCTTGCGGGATCTCTTTAGGTGGATTTTTAGCAGGTAGGCGATCGGTAAGGCCAGCAACTTCAGCCAGCCTACGGGCGAGCTGAGACCGCAAGTCACGACCGGTCGAATCCTGCACTCCCCTGTAACAGGCGCAGGGGGTCTATGAAGATTTTTACCACCTTTATAAAAAATAAAAAAGGGACGTTCAGGATTTCCCGCCCGTACGCACATCACCATTATTTCGTGCTTTGTCCAAATTGACAGCTAGCTGCTCGCTGCCTGCTCGTTTACCATAGGCTCGTTTACCATAATAACCATGGAAATCGCGCGAGATTTGGTAAGTGCAATCTTGCATTATCTGTATTACAGTCTCATTTATGTATCAGCTCGTAATTGCATGTAGAAAATTTCCAAACTGCATGCGAAAGTTGTGAGAATCAATATAACCCATATCGTGCACCTGAAAAGAGTTACATGAATCAATCATATCGAATCTTTCGTGTTTCTCTTGCGCGTATACCTGTCATATACGTTTAACAAGAATGTTCAGCATTCAGATGAGTGCAAATATCATGTACGCGCTCGAGAAACACGCACGAGAGATTCTAAATGATTGATTCATGTATATGTTTTCTACAGCCAAATGTAACTGAATGGATTTGTAGAGATTGACGCTAACAATTGTTTAATTATTTTCAGATTTTTCTTCGAAATGGCGCAGAAAAGGCAGGTGGAGGAGGAGCAGGAGGATCTTATCCTCGTAGAGGAGAAGGAGCTGCCAGCAGCTCGCCATCGAGAAATGGTAAGAGCATTCCTCCGTTGTCTTCATTCATTCAAAATATGTACATGATTACATATATCGTTTCGAATCTCTGTCGTGTCACTCTTGCGCGAACATGATATTCGCAATACGATCAATGATGGGCATTGTAATATTGCGAATATCGTGTATGCGCAAGAGAGACATGACATATTCGAAACGATATATGTAATCGTGTTACCTTTTTCGCGATTAAACCTTACATTTCATTCGTATCATGCTGATACACTTGTTTTATTTATTTTAGACTAGTCATTCTTCGGCGCCTGCGAAGCA